GCCCCAATTTTTGCTCTGCTTTTCCTTTACTGTTGCACGCACACACACACACAGCGCTCACTCATACCAAGTCCTCCTGGGCCACTGCAGGTTGCTGCAATCCGGCCCGTGTTTGTTTTTTTATCTCAGAGATTTTCTCTATTTTCAGTGCATGCATAATTACAGAAATGCCATGATTTTAAATTGTCAATAACTAAATAACCACGCTTCAAATAAAACCTGTCATATATGCATCTTGCTCAGATTTTCATGTACTTTCATAATATGCAATTTTCGTCCCCGTTAAAAATATTTAAAATTGTTGTTTGCATTAATTTGCATAAATGACATGTTAAAATGGTCTATTCCATATCTATTCAACTGTAGCTCTGAATTTAATAAACTTTATATGTAACTTGTCTAGAAAAATGCATAGATTAACATGATGCACTTACTTTTGTTGTTTAACAACTCTAAAATATGGTTTAGGCAGAACATGGCCAATTCGAAATATGCATATGGGGATTTTCCGGATTTGTTGTTTGTTGTTCAGGTCACATTTAAACTTGCCTAGATAGGTAGTTTTGTTATGCTTCACCTGTTGCCATGTTAACCAACATTTAACTTGTCTTGTACATGAACAAGAGCGAACTAAAAAAATGAATGTGGTGATTCTTCAATATGCGACTCGTTGCATATTGAGCTCCACTTAATTTGTAGTATTGTTTGTTGCACTTTGCCATGCCATGACTCGTTAAACCAGACATGCATCATACTTGATTGTGCATCATGCCATGATTATGCTTGTTGGTTTATCATGTTGTTTGCTTCTTTCCAGTTGTGCTTCTTCTCGATAGTTCCCGGTTTCATTGCGATTGTGAGGATTCGTTCGATTACACTTGGTTCGTCTACGTTGGTTCGTCTTCTTCATGGACTCGGTCTTCTTCCTAGCGGGATTTCAGGTAAGATGAATGTTACCCTAGATCTCACTACTATCATTGCTATGTTAGTTGTCTCGATGTTATTGCTATGTCGCGATTCCTACCACTTGTTTATCAAGCCTCCCAAATTGCCATGAAACAACCTCTAACCTTTTTCACCATCCCAGCAAACCGTTGTTTGTCTATATTACCGATTTGCTTAGCCCCTCTTATAGCATTGCTAGTTGTAGGTGCAGTTGCAGTTTGTTCCATGTTGGGGCATGGATGTCATGGATATCTTGAGATATCACAATATCTCTTATGTAATTAATGCACATATATACTTAGTAAAGGTTGGAAGGCTTGGCCTTATGCCTGGTGTTTTGTTCCACTCTTGTCGCCCTAGTTTTCATCATACCGGTGTTATATTCCTTGATTTTGCATCCGTAATACGATGAGGGTTTATGGGCCCCTCTTGACAGTTCGGTTTGAATAAAACTCTTCCAGCAGGGCCAAACATTGGTTTTACCATTTTCCCAACATAATAACTAAACTTGATATTAAATTTGACGCATAGGGAGTTAGCACTACCCGAGGTGTAATTCTACATAATATAGGGGGGCCAGTGTTGATGGTGTTGGTCCCAAACGGGCAGACTACAGGGCCACCACGGGGCAACCCGAGGATCTGGTTTTACTCGTAGGCTGACCTATCCGGACATGGCCTGAGACGAGATACGCACGGCTACTATTAAGGTGTCGGCACGCCGGGAGGTCTTGCTGGATTTGTTTTACCATTGTTGAAATGTCTTGTGCACCGGGATCCCGAGTCTGATCGGATGTCCCGCGATGGAGGATTGTCTTCGCGGATCGTGAGCTTGTCATGGGCTAAGTTGGGACACCCCTGCAGGGTTTAAACTTTCGAGAGTCGTGCTCGCGGTTATTTGGCAGATGGGAATTTTTAATGTCTGGTTGTAGGGAACTTGACATCAGATTTGAATTAAAACACACCAACCATGTGCGTGACCGTGATGGTCTCTTTTCGAGTAAGTCGAGAAGAGAACACGATGGGGTTATGTTTGAACGTAAGTAGTTCAGGATCACTTAGTGGTCGCTACTAGTTCGTGACCATTTGCATAGCTTCTCATCTTATTCTTTAACTCGTAAGTTAGCCACCATACAATGTTTAGTCGCTTGCTACAACCTCACCACTTATCCATTCCATACCCATTCAGCTTTGCTAGTCTTGATACCCATAGTAATGGGATTGCTGAGTCCTCGTGGCTCACAGGTTACTACAACAACAGTTGCAGGTACAGGTAATGCGATGATCTGACCTGAGAGCGATGTATGATTTTCTTGGAGTTCTTCTTCTGCTTCTTCTTCGTTCAGGGGTTAGGTTCGTGGTCGGCAGCCTGGGCTAGCAGGGTGGATGTCGTTTGAGTTTCTGTTTGTGTTTCATCCGTAGTCGGATGTTGCTCCTATGTATGATGTTGTTGTACTCTTGTGGCATTGTATGCCTTTTGTATGTATCCCCAGCTATTATGTAATGGTACGATGTAATGATATCCACCTTGCAAAAGCGTTTCGATATGCGGCTCTATCCTTGGTGGGACCTTCGAGTTCCTCTCGGATAGGATCGCATATTGGGCGTGATAGAGGGACTTCAAGAACAATCCACACTGACTCTTCTTCCACTGCAACTCGGAGTTGGTAACGGTCTGATCCAAACCACATCTTCATAGTGTTCCTGATTGATCATAGGGTGATTTTTTTCCTTTTTCTACTATGTTTCCCAACAAATACTTAGCTACTACTACAAACCTATAGTTGTGATATGGACTATCCACCTTATGGAAGCAGTGAACCGATGATTTTGG